AGCTAATTAGAGGCAGAGGCAAGACTTGAAATCACGTCCTGTGTCTCTCAATCTCTGCTGCACCCACAGGTATTATAGGACATTAGAATCAGAGCTCATCTAATCTAACCTCTCTTCCTATAGAAAAAGAAATTAAAAATGTGGGGAATACAATGTCTTAAAAGGCACTGTTAGAATGTTCCTGGGAGAGAAAGACTTGGAGTACATAGCAGAGGTGGGAGGAGTCTACTTGACAGCATCCTATAAACACATTAGGAACATTAGTAAATTATAAATAAGTGTCATAACAAATGGCATTTGAGAGCCTAACTTGGAAAAATAACATGCAAGGACTGACATATGGGTGTTTGGAAAAGTGCAAAAAATTTAGAGTCTAAACTGCTAGACTTGAGGACTAGATCTGAATGCTATTTGCTGTCTACCTCTGGGCATTTCATGTACCTTCTCTGAGCATATGTGTTGTTCAGCCATAACACGGGATTAATTGTCATCCCTATTACCCTGGCTGTTACAAGGAGAACAAACTAGCTCACCAAGTGCTTGACCAGCATCAAGTCTTACGAGGTCCCTCTGAGTCAGGTTTATTTGTTTTCTTCGTTTTTCATATGAGTGAACCAATCCTCATAAACAAGGATACTGAGGATCAAATGAAAGAAGATATTTGAACGTGCTTCATAAGTCCTAAAATGCTGCCATTTATTATTATTACTATCAGCAGTTGTAGTGGTAACAGATAATTGATGTGAAAGAGAATCACATGTCCTTAAAACTCACTGGGTGACCAAGGTTTAGAATGGTAGACCCAGTGGACAGACTGGGGTGGGATCCTCTCAAGGGGCTGTTAAAAATGACCAACATCACGACTCTGACTGGGTGGGGCCCGCTCTGCCTGGAAGGCTTCACAGAAACCAACCTGCCCTGCCCTGCAGAAAGCACCTGTTACCTGATGCCATGAACAAGAAGACCGTTCTTCTTATGGGAATCATATAGCTTAGAAAACTTCAAACTTTGGAAAAGTCTGATTCTGTAAATCAGGACATTGCTTCCCTGAAATGACACAGTTCACGGTCCAGGCAGCATCTTTATTTCACAATATTTCTAGTCTTTACTTGTCCCTGTAAATGATGACAACCAACCACAAATTCAGAAAAACTGGAGGGGGTGTGGAGGTGTGGGGTATCAAAACCTTTTTCCTCTCTGTTTTTTTGTCCCCCACTCCCCGCCCCCTCCCCCAATCAATCTGGTTTTGAGCTGGCCATAAAGGCCTACCCAGCTCTCATGGATTGTTTTTCTTTAGGGAAAAAAAAAAGACAACAAAGGCATCTTAGAACTCTTTGGGGGCACTGGGAGCTGTGCAGTGAACTTTTTTATAGAAATGGAGAAAATCTCCAAAGCTGCCAACATGAAATTCCAAAGGGGCAGGTAGAATTGGTATCCACGCCTAGTAGTGAGGCAAAGCGCTCCTTCGGTTCTCAGGAACCAATTTGTGTTTCAAATATCTTTCAGGAACTTGACACCTTGAAACTGTCTATTCCCAGGAAAGCTTAGCAAGTCCTAGAATAGCTTTCTTCAAGGACAGCAGCAAGACTCAAGGCTCTGTTAAAGCTCTGCCTATTTACTCTCTAGACTGCAAGACTGGATACTGGGGTTCAGAGCACCCCTAACTGGTCCAACACTGCCCAGCCTCGGAAGGTCTGCCAGAAGACCTGGAAATACTGCCCAAAGGGATCCCAGCAACCAAGCAAGGGAACAGAGGGCTCCGTGAGGAGAAAACAGGCTGAAGAAAGCAAGTGTCACTAAATGACAGGTGTAATTTTGAAAAATAAACACAAAGAATGTGAAAACCAGCAGAAGAAATTCAACAAATCTCCACAGTAGGCTGGGACAACTGTGACAGATCACTTCCCAAGTGTAAATTAAGTCACAACTGATTTTATACTTTTTAGGAGTCAAAAGGTACCAAAGACTGAAAGATATTGTTATCGAGGTTTATAAAGACCTTATTCTTTTGCAAAAACCTATTTAATTAGCTATAGATTAAGGATAGTTTGAGCAAAATAACACTTTTTCCACTTCAGGGAATATACATGCCATTTATAAATTCAGCCAGGAGGCCCCTGACAGGCATCAAAGACTGTTCTCTTCTCAGCTATTGCATATTTCTAGGGAAACTTTGCATTCGAAGGTTTTTTTCCCCCTTTGTGAAAGGTGCTCCGGCAGCCTACCGGCTCCCCCTCCCCCGAGTCCTGGCGACTCTTTCTGCTCCGTCCTGGAGGCAATTCTCCTGTGGCCTCAGGTTTCCTGGCTTCTGCAGTGTCGGCACCAAAGACTGATCAAATGTTTCTTTCTCATTACCCCAGCGAACCGGGAAACGCTGCCTTGGCCTCCATCCTTCCTCCTACAGGTCGCAAATGAAGTACAGCAGCTTTGACGCTTGGCTGTTCCTGCCCAGGGAGTGAGCCAGGCGGCTTCATTTAATTTTGCCGGATTCTCCTTCCCAGTCTGCGTTGGGTTGACCAGGAGGTTTTCCCTAATACCAAACGCTTAACATTTCCTGATGCATAATCATGAGCATGACAATTATAATAAAGTCAGGGAATGGGGTGTTTGTTTTCTGCTTTACAAGTCACAAAGCAAGAAAACACCTTTGTTTCCTTTGCTTTTATTTTAGTAGCCCTGAGTAAGAGAGATGGGGGATGTTAAGAAATGTTATTTTGCTTTGCAAAAGATAATTATATCAATAATGTTTTCTTTTCTCTCCCTTCCCTCCCCTCCATTTTAAAAGAAAGGTTCACGGGTCCAGCTAGGTCCCTGTCATCTCCCTGTACCTGGAGATGTCTTTCAGGACCAGCCAAAACGGCGCCGGGGCAGGGCTCCGGACCCGCAGCGGCGACCGCAGACCGTGCGGAGGGTTGACAAACTGCCGGCCAACTCTTCAAGCAGACAGCCACCTATCAGATCGCTTGACTCCCTTCTGCCCATGGGCCCCGAAGCGAGGGGCTGGCCTGCGGAAAGCCCACCCAGGGGACCGCGAGGGCCCCCCTGGGGAGAATCCAGAGTCCCAGCCGATCGCGCCCTGGCACTTGCGCCCGCGCCCCAGTGAGCCCTGCCGGAGGAGCGACAGGTGCAGCGGGCGCCCAGACGCCGACCTACCTTCACGAAGAGCTCGATTTCGGGGTCCCTGTCGTCCCCGTTAGCTGTCGCCGGGTCCGTCATGCCGTCTGCGCCTGGGGCCACGGTCCCGGGCCGGGGAGGCGCCACCTCTGCGGCGCCCGGGCTAGCGCTCTGCGCTCCTGATCCTGCCCAGCGGGGCCCCTCTTCAAGGCAGTGTTTAATTTCTTTCTTTCTTTTTTTTTTTTTAAACCATCTATTTCTCCAGCCGGAGCAGCGGTGTCCGAGAGGCCGGCGTCCCAGGTGATCACATGAAAAGGAGAGAAGCTACGAAGGGGCAAGGTGCAAGGGGAAAAGGCGGGTAAGAGATGACAACAGGTCCTGGAAGCAACAAGTGCCGGGCTGCCAGAAGGTGTCACAGGATCCGTAACTGTCAGCGATCCCGCCGTCAACGCGCCCAAAATAGCCAGCGGCCGCGGGGCGGGGTCAGCCCGGGCGGGGACTGGGGATGC